GAAAAAGGATGTGTTGGTATGGATCTGGGATGTTCTTCTCATCGTTTTCGGTATCCCCCCCCCCCGAAACACGGGAAACCGAAAACCCTGCATATCGCTCCTTCCCGGCATTGTGGAGATTGCGAGGTCTATGGTATACCGACCACGACATGTATTTACGGTATTCCCCCCGCCCTCCCTGAAACATGTCCAACATCGGCAGGGTGTACCTTCCAACACTGGTGGATCCCGACGTATGCTACAAGCTGCCCATCGCTGTGGGTTACACGTGCGTCGCCGTCGGAAAGGTGAGACTTAGCATAATGAGAACCAACGAAGATGATTACCTAGAGAAAGTAACGGAGAATTAGCGAGAGAATTAAAAAGAGATACACGACATAATCAACAAGGGAGGTGACAAGAGAATTGGCAAGAGAATTTACAGAATCAACAACAGAATTTGCATATTTAATAAGAGAATTAGCAAGAGAATCAACAAGAGAATCAACAAGAGAATCAGCAAGAAAATGAACGAGAGCGTCAACAAGAGAATCAGCAAGAGAATCAACAAGAGAGAACGAGAGACGCGTTGGCAATCAATAAGCAGCACCAGTGTGTTGTGCTTTCCTGGCATTGGAATTTCGGCAAGGCGGGTGGTTGACGACCTTTCGTTTGAAGACAACAACAACAGTATCAACATTCACAGCAAAAAGTTTAACAGCAACATTAACATGGACAGCAAGCACCAATAATGACAATAACAAACCACATACACCGCTCCCACAACACCCAACGACCACCACCACCAACGGCAAAAGCAACAGCGTTGAGATAACTTGCTGCCTCTCATCCTTGTCGTTATCACTTCAACGCGGACATTAGGTGGGACACTTTACGGCCCTGGTAGGGGTGGACCGCGAGCTGCGGCACCTCCCCCTGGTGGACGAGCACGGGGACGATCTCCCCATCAGGGGAGAAGATAAAACGAGCTAAGGAGGATGGTCATAGCGTAGGGGTCAGAGAGAGAGGGGGGGGGGGGGGGTACTCATAGTCGTGCATGCCGTAGTCGTTAGACCATTGACCTCGCATCCCTACAAAGCCGGGACGGAGCATGCCGGGTTCTCACCGGACCAGGCTCTCACATCACCAAGCGCGAAGCGCCGTGAGGTATTCGGCGAGTCGCATGAAGGGTGAGCTGCATCCTGCTAAGGGTGTTCGGCATCTTGTGCTTACTTCCTTGCGTACGGATGACAGCTGCGTATGACTTATTTTATTTTCTGGTGCTTTCACTTCCAGAGACAGTTGTAAGCACTGTGTAACTGCCTCGAGGAAGCTTGACCATTTTAACACAACGTGGTGCGATCATCCCGCTTGCACGAAGTGAGGTTTCTCCACCCCGCACAACATGATCTACTCGACCACCATTATGGTTACCGCCAAAAAAAACAACAGAGGTAAAAAAAAAAACGGTAACCTGGTTGCCGAGCTCACGAAGTGAATTGGCTTGTTTTACAACGTCGTTGCCAAGCGACGAAAACCCAACCCCGATGGCAAACACCGGGGGGGGCGAGGGGGGGGGGAGAAA